GGAGGCTCTGGTGAGCTGGAAAGGCAAGGCGGTGAAGGCGGCGATGGACGAGGAGATTCGCAGCCTCATCGCCAACGGCACATGGGAGCTGGTCGAACGTCCGCGCGGGGTGAACATCATGAAGAACCGGTGGGTGCTGACGACGAAGTATCACATCGATGATACGGTCGCTCGTGAGAAGGCACGTTTAGTCGTGAAGGGCTTCACGCAGGTGTACGGCGCCGACTACGAAGAGACGTACGCACCGGTCAGCAGCTACGTCACGCTGAGGATCTTCCTCAGCATCGTCGCTGTCCACGACTTGCACCTGATGCAGCTTGACATGAAGAATGCATTCCTGCAAAGTAAGCTGAACAGGGTGCTGTACATGTACCAGCCAGACTACTATGACGATGGAACTGGCCGGGTGTGGAAGCTGTTGAAAAGCCTCTACGGACTGAACAGTCACCATTACTGTGGTACAGGGCCCTCGACGGAGTGCTGCTGGGCGCCGGCTGGAAGAAGAGCCAGGTCGACGAGGCTCTCTACTTCAAGGCCAGTGACGGAGCAGTGATGTGCTGGGTGCTTGTCTACGTCGACGATCTACTCGCCGCCAGCAGCACCCTCGCGATGCTGAAGGAGCTGAAGGAGCTGCTGGAGGCTGCCTTTGAGCTGCGCGAGATCAGCCCAATCGAGAGGTACCTTGGGCTGGAAATCTTTCGCGACAGGTCGGCAAGGAAGCTATGGCTGCACCAGCAATCGTACGTCGACAAGCTCCGCAGGCGTTTCATCGACAAAGAGCAGACCGGGCACATCCCGAAGACGCCGGTCTCCGTCGACGCCTATGCGGAGCTGTCATTCGATGACGAGGATGCTCAAGCGCACGAGGAGGAAGAGTACAGGCAGAAGGTTGGCTCGCTGCAGTTCGCGGCGACGACGACGAGGCCGGACATCGCGTTCGCGTGCAGCAAGCTGGGAAGCGGCCTGACGGTGCGGAGTGATAACCACTGGCGCGAGGTCGACCGTTGTCTGCACTACCTCGCCGACACCCGTGACACTGCCTTGGAGTTCGGCGGTGGACCAGGTTCGCTGTGCCTGGTCGGCTACGTGGACGCAGACGATGCAGGAGACAAGCAGAACCGGACGAGCACGGATGGCTATGCATTCGTCTTCGGAGGGGCCGCAGTTTCCTGGTCGAGCCAGCGCATCAAGTGTGCGACGCTCTCCTCGACCGAGTCGGAGTACGTTGCGGCCACGGAAGCTGGCAAGGAGGCTCGTCGGCTTCGCTTCCTCCTTGCAGAGTTCAAGCTGCTAGACCCTGGGACGCCGACTGTCCTTCGTGTGGACAACCAGTCGGCCATCACTGTCGCGGAAGGCTTGGGGCTGAAGGGCAACCTCAAGCACATGGAGCGACGTTATGCTTGGCTGCAGCAGATGGTGAAGCGTGGGAAGATTGCGTTGAAGTACATCCCCACCTCTGAGCAGCCAGCTGACTTCCTGACGAAGGGGCTGCACTTTCCGGCCTTCAACCGGTGCTCCGTCGCGATCGGCCAAGTTCGTCTGGCTGACGTTGGCGATGGTGACGACGATGTACAGCAGTAGGTGCCGTGCCCTTCTGCACGGCTGGTGCGGTGACCGGCGTGCTGTGTGTTGTGTGCACGCTGACGAAGGATTTTCCCAGTGTATACTATCCCTTGGGTTCTGGGTGGACCTTGTGCGTAGGGTGCCCAAGCGTGAGCGCGGCAGGGGAGTGTTGAAAGAAATTGGCCCCGCCCTCGCATGGGCGAAACTCACTTTGTGGTCGAGTGTGCGGGAGGTGCAGCCGACCTTCTACAGGTGTTCGAGGGTTGCCTGTACACGAGGTGTACTAGGGAATCCATGCAAGTGTAACTGAAGCATCTGCGAGTGCAACACAGACTTCCCGTGCGCATGTACAAGTTGCGCAGCTCGTGCAGAAGTTCGCGGGTGTTCGTCTGCGCAGGGTCGCGTCCGACCCTGCGCAACCTTGAGACTGCACAGGCAAATTTTGGCCAGAAATTCGAATGTGCCCTAATTTCGACCAATCAGGGGCTGACATTTTGAAATGTCAACCGAGGTGCTCAACAAAGGTGCTCGACGAAGGTCGTCGAATAGCGACGACGAAGGTTGTCAACCCGCGATGACAAAGGTCGTCAACCGGTGATGACGAAGGTCATCATCCTGAAAAGATGTCAGGGACTTCATCTGGTTGACCAAGTTACCTGCTCGACGAGTGTGCGAAGGTGTGCGAACGTCGTCGAGACTGTTGTGGCAAAGTCGACCAACGTGGCAGCACATGGTCGGCGTGGCTCATCATGTGCAACTGTCAGCATGTGGCTGACAACCTGCGCAATGTACTTGATCGTGCACGTCGTGCATAACTGTCTACAAGCACCTGCGAAGTAGGTGCTTGCACATGCGCTTACAGTCACCTGCGGATGCAATGTTGGCAAGCCGCGCGGATGCTGCGTTGGCAAGCCGCGCGAATGCAGCGTTGGCAGGCCGCCATTCTGCAGCGTTGGCAAGTCGCACACAAGCTGCGTTGGCGGACCGTGGAGATGCTGCGTTGGCAGGTCGACAACTCTGTCACGCTGGCAGTCGACCTGCCTGAGCACTGGCAAACCTTGCATGTGATGTAGTCCATCTTTGCCATTGCTTGTTATCATTCTGAACTCTGTATTCTCAACTTTTCCTTAGTGAAATTCTTGCTGTTTTGCCCTGTGAAAACACAAGTCCTAGAGAACACAGACACAGCTATGATCACTCCTACAACTCGTGCCAACCCCATAGTCTAGCTCCCACCATTGTAGAGTTTATCTCCTCATGGTGCGGTGAGCGTGGACGGCCCCGCAAGGATACCTTCAGATAGGAGCCAACTTTTGCACCTACTAAGTCGTTCGTAGGCCGGCAGCCTTCGGAGTCACCATGGTCGACCCCGTAGTTGAAGCGGGTGTAGCGGACACCTTGGAGACACGACTAGCTAATGGGAGGAGACGCCACGAGGCTGGCGAGTACGGGACGATCCCCTTGGAGATCGTCGAGCTGGGCATCCGGGCGCAGTGGGCGACGGAGCACCCTTCCCGTCCTGCATCTCCTCGACCGGCACGCAACGATGGTGGCGTCGACGAGGAGGTCGACGGCGGTGCACGAGTCCATGGCAACGAGGGCAGGAGGCAGATAGGAGTGCTCAGGTCTGCCGACGGTGGTGTCAGTGGGAGTCAAGCACGAGTGCAGCGGCCGATGGCACCTCAACGAAGCAGAAGAAGTCTCTCGGCAAGGACGCATGTGACAGCAGGCGGAATCGCGCCGGCGTATGGCTACTTCAAGTTTTCGCCGGACAAGATCACCGTCGCACCTCTGCAAGGCCGACGAGACCTCATCACTTGGAGGGAGTCGATAGAACCACAGCTTGAGGTTGCTGGGCTGAAGGGCTTTGCCGACGGTACTGTGCCAATTCCGCACGAGGACGATGTCGAGCTGCGCGGGGAGTTTCGTGCTGCTCACTTGCTCACCTTCATGGTCATCTCGAGGTGTTGCTCGCCGGTGGTGCAGCTTGCGCTCAGGAGCTGTCGAGAGCGTCTGGATGCTAGTCACCAAGCATGGCACTTCATCCTGTTGACGTACCAGGCGAAGGACGACCTGTACATCGGACAGCTAGAGGAGAAGATGACACATCTTCGGATGGGTGAGCAGGAGTCGGCGACAGACTACTGCAACCGTGCTCGACGGATACTGGCTGAAATGCGGATGGCGGGCGCTGAATACTCTACGGCGTCCTACATCACCCACGTTGTCAAGGGCCTGCCGCGTAGCTACAACCTCATGAAGAGGATGATGATGGTGCCCGGCACGCGGGAGTCACTCGACGAGGACTCAATCACCAGCTACATCCTTCAAGATGAGGCTATGCAAGAGGCAGAGCAGCCCACGGAGCTCCTTCCGCAGGCGAGTTACGCTGCACCGACGAAGCAGAATCGTCCGCAGGGGCAGCGAGGAAAGTCTGGCGGTGGTGGTAGCGGAGGTGGGAGGTCGGCGAAGGACGCCGACCAGGCAAAATCAACTCGTGACAGTGGTCGCGGCAAAGGTGGTCGACGGCGTGAGTGCTCGGTCTGGGCAAACTTTTCCTTAGTGAAGTTCTTGCTGTTTTGCCCTGTGAAAACACAAGTCCTAGAGAACACAGACACAGCTACGATCACTCCTACAACTCGTGCCAACCCCATAGTCTAGCTCCCACCATTGTAGAGTTTATCTCCTCAAGGGAGACGTTTAGGGGGGAGACGTTTGTGGCGCACAGGTTGGGAGAAGGTGCGTGTGAAGGGAAGACGTTTAGGGGGGAGACGTTTGTGGCACACAGGTTGGGAGAAGGAGCGTGTGAAGGGAGACGTCTAGGGGGGAGACGTTTGAGGCGCGCAGGTTCGGAGAAGGAGCGTGTGAAGGGGAGACATTTAGGGGGGAGACGTTTGTGGGGCGCAGGTTCGGAGAAGGTGCGTGTGAAGGGGAGACGTTTAGGGGGGAGACGTTTGTGGGGCGCAGGTTGGGAGAAGGTGCGTGTGAAGGGGAGACGTTTAGGGGGGAGACATTTGTGGGGCGCAGGTTGGGAGAAGGTGCGTGTGAAGGGGAGACGTTTAGGGGGGAGACGCTTGTGGGGCGCAGGTTGGAAGAAGGTGCGTGTGAAGGGGAGACGTTTAGGGGGGAGACGTTTGTGAGGCGCAGGTTGGGAGAAGGTGCATGTGAAGGGGAGACGTTTAGGGGGGAGACGTTTGGGGGGCGCAGGTTGGGAGAAGGTGCGCCCCACAAACGTCGCCTCCCTAAACGTCTCCCCTTCACACGCACCTTCTCCGAACCTGCGCCCCACAAACGTCTTCCCCCTAAACGTCTCTCCTTCACACGCACCTTCTACAAACCTGCGCCCCACAAACGTCTCCCCGCTAAACGTCTCCCCTTCACACGCACCTTCTCCCAACCTGCGCGCCAGAAACGTCTCCCCCCTGAACGTCTCCACTTCACACGCACATTCTCCTAAACGTCTCCCCTTCACCCGCACCTTCTCCGAACCTGCGCCCCACAAACATCTTCCCCCTAAACGTCTCCCCTTCACCCGCATCTTCTCCGAACCTGCGCCCCCCAAACGTCTCCCCCCTAAACGTCTCCCCTTCACACTCACCTTCTCCCAACCTGCGCCCCACAAACATCTCCCACCTAAACGTCTCCCCTTCACATGCACCTTCTCCCAACCTGCGCCCCACAAACGTCTCCCCCCTATACGTCACCCCTTGACACGCACCTTCTCCCAACCTGCGCCTCCCAAACATCTCCCCCCTAACCGTCTCCCCCTTCACACGCACCTTCTCCCAACCTGCGCCCTACAAACGTCTCCCCCCTAAACGTATCTCCTTCACACGCACCTTCTCCGAACCTGCGCCCCACAAACGTCACCCCCCTACACGTCTCCCCTTCACACGCACCTTCTCCGAACCTACGCCCCACAAACGTCTTCTCCCTAAACGCCTCCCCTTCACACGCACCTTCTCCGAACCTGCGCCCCCCAAACGTCTCCCCCCCTTCACACGCACCTTCTCCCAACCTGTGCCCCCCACAAACATCTCCCCCCCTAAACGTCTCCCCTTTACACGCACCTTCTCTCAACCTGCGCCCCACAAACGTCTCCCCCCTAAACGTCTCCCCTTCACACGCACCTTCTCCGAACCTGCGCCCCACAAACGTCTGCCCCCTAAACGTCTCCCCTTCACACGCACCTTCTTCGAACCTGCGCGCCACAAACGTCTCCCCCCTAAACGTCTCCCCTTCACACGCACCTTCTCCCAACCTGCGCGCCACAAACGTCTCCCCCCTAAACGTCTCCCCTTCTCAAGCACCTTCTCCCAACCTGCGCCCCACAAACGTCTCCCCCCTAAATGTCTCTCCTTCACACGCACCTTCTCCCAAACTGCGCCCCACAAACGTATCCCCCCTCAACGTCTCCCGTTCACACGCACCTTCTCCCAACCTGCGCCCCACAAACGTCTCCCCCCTCAACGTCTCCCCTTCACACGCACCTTCTCTCAACCTGCACCCCACAAACGTCTCCCTCCTGAACGTCTCCCCTTCACACGCACATTCTCCCAACCTTCGCGCCACAAACGTCTCCCCCCTGAACGTCACCCCATTCACACGCACCTTCTCCCAACATGCGCCCCACAAACTTCTCCCCCCTGAGCGTCACCCCTTCACACGCACCTTCTCCCAACATGTGCCCCACAAACGTCTCCCCCCTATACGTCACCCCTTCACACGCACATTCTCCAAACCTGCGCCCTACAAACGTCTCCCCCCTATACGTCTCCACATCTGCCCCCTATACGTCTCCCCTTCAAACGCACCTTCTCCCAACCAGCGCCCCACAAATGTCTCCACCCTACACGCCTCCCCTTCACACTCACTTTCTCCCAACCTGCGCCCCACAAACGTCTCCCCCCCTAAACGTCTCCCCTTAACACGCACCTTCTCCCAACATGCGCCCCACAAACATCTCCCCCCTAAACGTCTCCCCTTCACACGCTCCTTCTCCCAACCTGCGCGCCAAAAACGTCTCCCCTTCGCACGCACATTCTCCAAACCTGCGCCCCACAAACGTCTCCCCCCCGAACGTCTCCCTTTCATACGCACCTTTTCCCAACCTGTGCCCCACAAACGTCTCCCCCCTATACGTCTCCCCTTCACACGCACCTTCTCCCAACTTGCGCCCCACAAACATCTCCCCCCTATACGTCACCCTTTCACACGCACCTTCTCCCAACCTGCGCCTCCCAAACGTCTCCCCCCTAAACATCTCCCCTTCACACGCACCTTCTCTCAACCTGCGCCCCACAAGCAGCTCCCCCCTAAACTTCTCCCCTTCACACGCACCTTCTCCCAACCTGCGCCCTACAAATGTCTCCCCCCTAAACGTCTCCCCTTCACACGCACCTTCTACCAACCTGCGACCCCCAAGCGTCTCCCCCCTAAACGTCTCCCCTTCACACGCACCTTCTCCCAACCTGTGCCCCACAAACGTCTCCCCTTTCACACGCACCTTCTCCCAACCTGCGCCCCCCAGACATCTCCCCCCTAAACGTCTCCCCTTCACACGCACCTTCTCTCAACCTGCGCCCCACAAATGTCTCCCCCCTAAACGTCTACCCTTCACACGCACCTTCTCCCAACCTGCGCCCCACAATTGTCTCCCACCTAAACGTCTCCCCTTCACACGCGTCTTCTCCGAACCTACGCGCCACACACGTCTTCCCCCTTAACGACTCCCCTTCACACGCACCTTCTACGAACCTGCGCCTCCCAAACGTCTCCCCCGTAAACGTCTCCCCTTCACACGCACCTTCTCCCAACCTGCGCCCCCCAAACGTCTCCCCCCTAAACGTCTCCCCTTCACATGCACCTTCTCCCAACCTGCGCCTCACAAACGTCTCCCCCCTAAACGTCTCCCCTTCACACGCACCTTCTTCCAACCTGCGCCCCACAAACGTCTCCCCCCTAAACGTCTCCCCTTGACACGCACCTTCTCCCAACCTGCGCCCCACAAATGTCTCCCCCCTAAACGTCTCCCCTTCACACGCACCTTCTCCCAACCTGCGCCCCACAAACGTCTCCCCCGTAAACGTCTCCCCTTCACACGCGGTGAGCGTGGACGACACCGCGACGAAAACCTTCGGTTTAGCTGACTTCTCACTCACCTAGCTTGTTCGTAGACCGGCAGCTGTGCGGTAGTCACTATGGTAGGAGCCGTAGGTGACGGAGGGGTGGTGGACACCCTGGAGGCACGGCTGGAGAACGCGAGGAGAAAGCACGAGGCCAACGAGTATGGCGACATCCCCTGGACGGTCGTCGAGGCTGGCATCCGCTCCTTGTGGGCGACGGAGCACCCTCTGTCTCGGCCTGCGTCTCCTCGACCGGTGAACAACGCGAGCGGCGTTGACGCAGACGTCAACGCGGGTGGTGGCCAAGTCGGCAGCAGCGCGGGAGGCACGTCGAGGCAGCGAGGTGTGATTCGCGCCGATGAAGTCGGCGGCGTTCAGGCGCGAGGGATGCAGTCGTCCGCGGCTGCAGGGGCCCCGCGAAACTACGTCGGAGGCAGACGAAGTGAAATGGCGCCGATGTTGGTGACTCACGTGACCGCGGGAGGAATTGCGCCGAGCTACGGCTACTTCAAGTTTACGCCGGACAGGATCTCGGTCACCCCTCTGCTGGTCGGTCGTCCCGACATCCTAACGTGGAAGGAAGCCATCGAGCCCCAGCTGAAGATGGCCGCGCTGATGGGCTTCGCCCGCGGAACCGTGGCGACGCCGGAGGAGCACTACCCCGACCTGCGAGCGGAATTTCGCGCCGTGCAGTTGCTGACCTTTACGGTCATTTCGCGGTGCTGCTCGTCGGGCGTACAGATCGCCCTGAAGTCGTGCAGGGAGTACCTCGACGCTGGCCACCGGGCGTGGCATTTCATCGAGTCAACTTACCAGGTCACCAACGACTTGTTCATCGCCCAGCTTGAGGGGCAGTTGACGCACCTGCGTATGGGCGACAAGGAGACCACGACTGACTACTGCAACCGAGCTCGGCGAATTCTCGCCACCATACGGATGGCTGGTACCCATACATGGCTCATGGGTACCCATACATGGCTCATGGGTACCATACATGGCTCATGGGTACCCATACATGGCTCATGGGTACCCATACCTGGCTCATGGGTACCCATACATGGCTCATGGGTAACCATACATGGCTCATGGGTACCCATACATGGCTCATGGGTACCACACATGGATCATGGGTACCCATACATGGCTCATGGGTACCCATACATGGCTCATGGGTACCATACATGGCTCATGGGTACCCATACATGGCTCATGGGAACCCATACATGGCTCATGGGTACCCATACATGGCTCATGGGTACCCATACATGGTTCAGGGGTACCCATACATGGCTCATGGGTACCCATACATTGCTCATGGATACCCATACATGGCTCATGGGTACCCATACATGGCTCATGGGTACCCATACATGGCTCATGGGTACCCATACATGGCTCATGGGTACCCATACATGGCTCATGGGTACCCATACATGGCTCATGGTCACCCATACATGGCTCATGGGTACCCATACATGGCTCATAGGTACCATACATGGCTCATGGGTACCATACATGGCTCATGGGTACCATCAAGGCTCATGGGTACCATACATGGCTCATGGGTACCATACATGGCTCGTGGGTACCATATATGGCTCATGGGTACCCATACATGCTCATGGGTACCCATACATGGCTCATGGGTACCATACATGGCTCATGGGTACCCATACATGGCTCATGGGTACCCATACATGGCTCATGGGTACCATACATGGCTCGCGGGTACCATACATGGCTCGCGGGTACCATACATGGCTCATGGGTACCATACATGGCTCATAGGTACCATACATGGCTCATGGGTACCATACATGGCTCATGGGTACCATACATGGCTCATGGGTACCATATATGGCTCATGGGTACCATACATGGCTCATGGGTACCATATATGGCTCATGGGTACCCATACATGCTCATGGATACCCATACATGGCTCATGGGTACCATATATGGATCATGGGTACCCATACATGGCTCATGGGTACCCATACATGGCTCATGGGTATTCATACATGGCTCATGGGTAGCCATACATGGCTCATGAGTACCCATACATGCTCATGGGTACCCATACATGGCTCATGGGTACCCATACATGGCTCATGGGTACCCATACATGGCTTATGGGTACCATACATTTCTCATGGGTACCCATACATGGCTCATGGGTACCCATACATGGCACATGGGTACTCATACATGGCTTTTGGGTACCCATACATGGCTCATGGGTACCCATACATGGCTCATGGGTACCCATACATGGCTCATGGGTACCCATACATGGCTCATGGGTACCCATTCATGGCTCATGGGTACCCATACATGGCTCATTGGTACCCATACATGGCTCATGGGTACCCACACATGGCTCATGGGTACCCATACATGGCTCATGGGTACCTATACATGGCTCATGGGTACCCATACATGGCTCATGGGTACCATATATGGCTCATGGGTACCCATACATGGCTCATGGGTACCCATACATGGCTCATGATACCCATACATGGCTCATGGATACCCATACATGGCTCATGGATACCCATATATGGCTCATGGATACCCATACATGGCTCATGGATACCCATACATGGCTCATGGATACCCATACATGGCTCATGGGTACCCATACATGGCTCATGGGTACCATACATGGCTCATGGGTACCCATACATGGCTCATGGGTACCCATACATGGCTCATGGGTACTCATATATGGCTAATAGGTACCATACATGGCTCATAAGTACCACACATGGCTCATGGGTACCATACATGGCTCATGGGTACCCATACATGGCTCATGGGTACCATACATGGCTCATGGGTACCATACATGGCTGATGGGTATCCATACATGGCTCATGGGTACCCATACATGGCTCATGGGTACCCATACATGGCTCATGGGTACCCATACATGGCTCATGGGTACCCATACATGGCTCATGGGTACCACACATGGATCATGGGTACCCATACATGGCTCATGGGTACCCATACATGGCTCATGGGTACCCATACATGGCTCATGGGTACCATACATGGCTCATGGGTACCCATACATGGCTCATGGGTACCCATACATGGCTCATAGGTACCCATACATGGCTCATGCGTACCCATACATGGCTCATGGGTACCCATACATGGCTCATGGGTACCCATACATGGCTCATGGGTACCCATACATGGCTCTTGGGTACCCATACATGGCTCATGCGTACCCATACATGGCTCATGCGTACCCATACATGGCTCATGGGTACCATCCATGGATCATGTGTACCCATACATGGCTCATGGGTACCCATACATGGCTCATGGGTACCCATACTTGGCTCATTGGTACCATACATGGCTCATGGGTACCCATACATGGCTCACGGGTACCCATACATGGCTCATGGGTACCATACATGGCTCATGGGTACCCATACATGGCTCATGGTTACCATACATGGCTCATGGGTACCATACATGGCTCATGGGTACCCATACATGGCTCATGGGTACCCATACATGGCTCATCGGTACCCATACATGGCTCATGGGTACTCATATATGGCTCATAGGTACCATACATGGCTCATACGTAACAGACATGGCTCATGGGTACCATACATGGCTCATGGGTACCCATACACGGCTCATGGGTACCATACATGGCTCATGGGTACCCATACATGGCTCATGGGTACCCATACATGGCTCATGGGTACCATTTATGGCTCATGGGTACCCATACATGGCTCATGGGTACCATACATGGATCATGGGTTCCCATACATGGCTCATGGGTACCCATACATTGCTCATGGATACCCATACATGGCTCATGGGTACCCATACATGGCTCATGGGTACCCATACATGGCTCATGCGTACCCATACATGGCTCATGCGTACCCATACATGGCTCATGGGTACCATCCATGGATCATGTGTACCCATACATGGCTCATGGGTACCCATACATGGCTCATGGGTACCCATACTTGGCTCATGGTCACCCATACATGGCTCATGGGTACCCATACATGGCTCA